ATTTATATAAGCGCCTTATTACATGCTTTAACATCAATTATAAGCCATCATTCCAAAAATAACTTTCCCAGCAAAAAAAAAAAACATATCCACAGGAGGAACAGAAGACTGTTATATAAAGGGAATCAGGGTCAAAAAAGAAGGTCCAGGAACAGTGATCTATTCACAAACCCTGAATTACTTCACCTCTCTCATGGAAAAATACAGGGCAAGTGTAGGCTTTCTCGCTTCATGTGGTTACAACTATAAATACATCTTCTGCTGACCTGCAGGTATTTACTGATGCCAGGCAGACTAAAGGGGAATTCTTGCCAGCCTTTTGCTCCTTTGTTTGATAACAGGTACATGTCCATGGCCCTTAGGCACAGCATGGTTCAAAAATTACTTTGGGACTCTTACCAGTGAGGGTGGCTATTTTTCTAATCCACTTGTCTAGATCGGTGGGATTTTCCCCATTAGATAATTATTATTTTAAGATTAACTTGTCAGCCAACATGAAGCAGAAAGACGAGATCCAAATTTGCACTGTTTGTATCACCATCTTGAGTCAGTAATCGGTAATGCTGTAAACCAACTCATTTTAGGCATCTGAGGCACATAAGCAACCTTCGGCCAAACCAGCACCATGAGTGGACCTGGCCCAAATGGAAAACAATTCAGCATGTTTCAGAAGCTGCCCACTGCTATTTGGCAGGGAAAACTAATTAACCCTGTATCAAGATGCAGACAATATTGCTGCTAACCCACTGTATCGGCCACAGGGTCATCGAGAGCTTGGTGGCGTACTGCTTGACTTACCTTTCTTTGCTTGCAAAGATCGTCCTGACAGGCGAACGTCCCTGCTGCTGCTGGCCATTACTCAAGCTTTGAGCAATGCAGATTGTGAAAGAGTTTGGCCGTATGGGAAATAAATTGTTATTTTTCTTCCTGCACAGAAAGGAATGGATTCAGCATGTGCCAGACTTGCTTCTTTTTTTTTTTTTTTTTTTTTGACAACTTGCAGCCCATTGTTTATCAAATGGCACCCTGAATCTTCTGCGTCATATTTTCTGTGACTTAAATACTTTTCTTTAACTAACACAATGTGTATGATGGCAAACAAATAAATAAATTTTAAAAAGCAGGACTTCTGTGGAAACAAAGTTTACCATTTCCCACACAGATTAAATGCTGATTTTCCTAATGAAATAAAACACTTGCATACAATTCTGCTGCTCTGTACTCCACATGAACTCAGAGCCTCACGCTGGATCTTTTCAGTGTGACAGCTGATTACAAACATGTTGCAATCACCTCACCTTCTTACCTTTTTTTTTCTTTTTGTTTTTAAAGAGATGCTACATTTCTGTTTCCATTTGGCTGCTGACCTTTTTTGTTTCCTCCAGCTGGAACAAAACTGTTCCAAAAAATACCTGTGTCAGCCTGCCCACCAGGGAGTTTTGGGGAAGCCGATGCAGCCAAGGCAGATGACTGGTGTCCTTGGCCCACACCGGGGTGATGCTCTACTGCACGCGTTCCTGTGCCATCACTGAGCAAGGAATCTGCCAGCAACTCACTGGACATGAGAAGGTTTTGGCTGGACCCCAGCACACTCCAGGATGGCAACTCCTACAATTTGGTAATAGATTGAGTAATTTAGAGCAGTCTTAGCACTGCTCCAAATCACTCTGGAGCTGCTTAACTCTCCCTGCTGCACCATTGTGGTGGCTATCGGAACCCATCTTCTCAGTCCTCTCTGGTGAAGCTGTTTTAATTTTTGCCTTCAAACAGGGGAAGTAAACAAGAAATTCCACATGCGGTTTGCCAGGGTGGCAGGAGAGCCCTGTGAGGGCCTGCCAAAGACAGGCAGCTACACAACGCCCTGCCAGCACCACTACACTGCTGCCTTCTGCGCATCCCTCTCAACCCCCTCCACTCATCCCCATTTGCAAAAAAATAATACTAAAAAAACCAAACCAAAACAAAACAAAACCCCCAAAATCCCTCCCTGTAAACTATCAGACTATGCCATGGGGTTTCAGATGGATGCAGTCCTTCCAGGCTAACAGCTTTGCTGTAAAGGATTAATGCCCCAAAAGGTTCAAATATTTATGAGCATCATGGAATGAGGCCAAGAGACATGCAGAAGATGCTAGGGCTGTTAGACTCATTTAGCATTTTTAAATGGTACCATCTTCTCCTAAGGACAATATTAATGTTTGGTTGTTTTTTTTTTTTAAAAAAAACAATATTCTTTTGAACTTACAATTTTCTTGGGAGATTTTTTTCTTCAGGCAGCCAGGTGATTTGTACATACAGAAGGTCTACAGTGGTTTTGCTTTGTTTTTTTTTTTTTTAAGCAAGCTACAGTTGTAAATAAGACCTCTGATGACTAAAATGGCATGGGATCAATGTGTAAAGCTTTTTCAGGCTGTTTATTAGAACATCTGAGAAAGCCTGGTTCACTTTTTCCTCTGCACAGGCAAGTTTCCTCTGCCTCTGTGTACAGCAACAGAAGAGAGAAAAACACTGGGAAGATGTTGGAAAATATGATAGTAAAACTGCAAACACTGACAGGTGGGCTCCGAGGAGGTAAATCTCTCCATCATTTTGTTTTTAATGGACTAGATTTGATACTGAAGTGCTGCCTTCCCCTCCCATTTAAGAAGGGGCCTATTTACAGAGCCAGGCGGAAAGGACGCGGGGCAGGAGCATCAAAGGATGGCGTTGGCATTTCACTCGAATTCCTCCGAGCTCTGCGGATTCGCTCCAGTCATCTTCGCTCGTCTGCCTCCCAAACCCTCCTGTCCCCGGGGAGCACAGGGAACCCTCCTGCAAACAGGGATGAGCTGGCTCAGCCCTGGGATGTGCAGGGGATCACCCCCAGGACCAGCTCAACCGCCTTTTCCAGATGTGCCATTTCTGGGCTGCAGCTGTCCACCGACCTGCCGGCTGCCCATTTCAGCTGGGCTCAGCGCTCAAACCAGCGACGTGGTGGCCGGCCGGAGAGGATGGCTCGGGCAGCACCAGGAAGGGCATCGGCGGTGCCTCCCCGGCAATAACCCGCCTTTTGGGGGACGCTGTGTTTATGGTGGCCGGCAGCTCCCCGCGGGCCGTACCCACAGCCTCGCCGCGCTCACCCACGCCAACGCCGCCGGCCACGCAGGGCCACGGGCAGAATGAGCAGCGCAGTTTCTTGCTAGGAACATTTGAAAGCAATTTTAGAGAAATGTATCATATCTGGAAAACTCTGTGTCACCGGGCTGCTGTGTTTCTGCGGGGGAGATGGGAGGTGGAGGTGCAGCGTTACACAGGCAGGAGGAAAAGGCTTGGCAGTGCTTTCAGCTCCACAAAATCTGAGCTGCTGTTAGCACGCACTGAACAGCGGCTGCCCAAGCATTCAGGTAATTTTTCCCCAGTGATGCTCTTGAAGGGCTATTTTCTTCTTTTAAACCGTGCGCTGTGCCGCACAGCCTCTCCCGAGCGCTGCGTGACCACCTCCCATCGCTCCCCCCAGGACAGTGTGGCAGGGTGGTGGCGAGCCCCACGGCGGGAGCCCAACCCCACGAGGCAGCACCGACACCGGGCAGCACCCCTGGCCCTCTCCCCTGCCCAGCCCTGCTGCCTCTGCTCCCGGTGAGAACGCACACCCTCCCTCCGAAAGGTCAACCCCCCCCGCAGCTTCTCCGCATCAGGAATAGGCTGCAAAGCCGCCAGCAAGGGAAGAGGAAAGGAGGTCCCTCCAGGACGTCGACCCAGCCCCAGCCCCTCTTCCCCGGCAGCCGAAATCAAGGCAGAGCCCGTCCCTCGCCCACGGCGGCCAAGGCTGCAGCAAGAGCTCACCCGGGGTGCTGGGAGGCATCGGGGGTGGAACCGGCCACGTCTCCGTGCCCGGGCTGCGTGGCCAAGCTAACCAGCTGGAGTGTGGAGGAACAAGGACTGTTCAGTGGTTTTAAAAGGGGAAATTATTTTTCTGCCAGACCATCCCAGGCTTCCAGCACTCTCCACACCATCTGACCATGGGCTACGTTTAAAACATGCTCTCTGGCTCTTTCTCACCGGGGTGAGGATATGAATAATAAGCTGGTACTGCCTTCTTATAATGCTACATTTTTCTGGTTAGTAAAATCTCCGGCAAAAACACAAAGAAGATCCAGATGGATTTCAACGTGCCAGCACACCGGAGGCAGGTTGGATGCCTGTATGATGATGGACAGCTGGACATCACCTCCTCTAGCAGCGCCCTGGCCTGCGAAGCACCTCGACCTTGGGGAGGTGGAAAAGCAGGGTGACTCAGGGAAGACATCTGCCCAGTTTCCAGTAGACCTTCCGACCGCTTGGAAGCGCTGGTGGAGCCATGAGCAAGTTGTGGGCAGTGGAACTAATGAGACCTCATTTCCTATGGATCTGTGTCTTGCGGTTGGACTTTCTGGTGTCTGAAGACCATATGAGCGCCAAGGAGGCACTTTCTGTGGTCAGGGTATTCACAGCCTCTCCCTCTGCCTCCTCACCATGGATTCCTCCAGCTTCTAACCGGAGCTGTGCTCAGGCCTCCGGCTCTCCCAGGGCATCGGCAGGGTATCCCTCCTCCCCCCGGCTGCTCGCCTTCCTGGGCTCTGCCTCCAGCTTAATCTCTTGGAAACAAATACCTTCTTTTCATGGTTGGCTGAAATTGATCCAATGCACTCAAAACCAGAGGGCGAACTAGCAGGCAAAAGTGACTAAAAAAAGATGCTTTCAGTAAGAAAGCCAGCATAACAGTGTTACAAAAACATTATACTATAAAGCAGGAGCAGCCCACAGTCTTGAGTCTAGCAGCCACAAATGAAAACCTTCTCAAGGCCAGGGGGCACTGGGCATGTACCACACACCTTTGAGGGCTGAGGACAGCGAGGGAGGGAGGGAGCCGTGACAGAGGCTCCCAGTTACCTTCTTGGGCATCAGCACAGTTACCTTCCTGGGCCCCCCACCGTGTCCCCCGCAAGCCCAGCAGCCCAGTCTCTGCTCTCCCACCTCCTGCCATGCCCGTGAGGATCCGTGAGCATCCCGACCCCTGCACCGCCCTGCCACGGGTTACCCAGCACAGCAACAGAGGGGTAAGTGGAAAAAAAGCTGGTAAACTCCTCTGTTTGGTACACACAGCTGGGCAGGCATGCGTTGCATTTCCCACGTTAAAAGTGGATCTATTTTGCATACGCGTTTACCCTCGACAAGACTACTTATGTAGCACCAGCAGGGAAACACCTTTGAACTTTGCTGACCTGCATGTGGTTCAGTGCCACAGATCGGCTGTTGCTGCGATAAACACCGCTTCACAGGTATCTTTTGCAAGAGCAGTTAAGAGTAGATGTTTCTCCATGAAGATACACAACAGAACAAATGGAACAAACCAAAGGCAAAAATGAGAGGCTACCCAGCTTGATTTACAAAGTTGGTGGTGTCATACGCCCTAAAGCGATATAATTTTTTAAAAAGACCGAAAACGAAGGCAAGCACGTTCTAGTGACTACGGAGTTTGCTGTCGCAGGCAGCAGCAGGACTGCGGTGCAGCCACGGCACAGCGTTGAGCACACCATCACGGTACCTGTTAAACCAACGATTCTCCCTCCCACGCTTGGTGGCTGCCATAGGGGTGAAGAGCCGCGAAGATGCAGGCTTCCTGCGTGCGCACCGGGCTCGAGCCGGCAGCAAAGACGGCCGTCAGCCCGCCGGACTAAGGGAAGGGGGCTTGGTTGCCCTGGAGGAGGGAAGGCTCTGGAGGGGCCCAAGAGCAGCCCCCGGCACCTCTGGGGTGGTTATCCAGAAGACAGAGCCAGGCTCCAGCGTAAACTGGAGCAAGAGAGGTTCAGACTGGGTTCTGAATTCCTGCCCGAATTATCCAGTGATCTTATATTTTCCCTGTACCTCGGCTTCCCACACGTAAAATGCAAAGGCACATATAGATAGCGTTTCCCACTGACAGTAGTTTCATGAGAACACGTGCACTAAGACTGTACGGCACCAGAGACCACAGAGGTTTAAAAATAAATACCTTTTTAAGACAATGAAGAATAAATACCCATCACATGAACATGTGCAAAATTAGCTGGGAGCGTGTTGTTTGTGGGACAGGAATTCACTTTGCTGTCAAGCTGGTTTGTGGCAGAGCTGACTGGCCGCAGGGTGTGATCCGACAGCACATCCCCTGCTGCAGGAGGTGACCAGGACAGCGGGACACAGCCTCAGTCTGTATTTACAGCTTAGTCCAAGCAGCCCACACCTTCTGTCTTTGCATGATAATCTGCTTCTCAAAATATTTTCCTTCCCAAAACTAACATGAAAATGAGAGCAGAAGAAACTTAGCCTCAGACTGCTGTTCAAATAGCACTGAGTTACTAAAAAGCAGAGGAAAAAAAAGCGCAAGCTGAAGATGCTATCATCTGGAGTAGAAGAGACTGACAGGCAGCAAGAGACTTCCAGATAGGAGGGAAAGATGGTTCCCATTCACATCAACAGCAAAATGTCACTCAGCATCTGGATCAGGACCCCTCTGCACTGGAAATCAGCTTTCAGATGGGGGCCAGCCACTCTTTTGTATTGACTTGTCTGTGCCACAGTGACACTGCTGCTAACACTTAATTTATTTTGTCCATTTAGGAGACATCTAGTTATCTCAATTATTTAACAATGTGTAAAATTACAAACACATTCAACTACAATATGTTCCTCTTGCGTAAACTTCTCCTCTTGGCCACATACATAATGAAAACCCTGTTGAGTCAGTAATAAAATCCAGAAAGCTTTCAAGTCTCAGAACTGAATGTTCAAATTTTGTAGCTCACTTCCTTTTCTAACCAGACAGCAGGGCTGCCAAGAGAATTTCTGGGCGTTCAGCCCCTTTTGATATACATATACATACATACACACACAAATATATATATATATAGTACTCTACCAGGGCTGGCAGACAGCAGGCACCAATTGTTTTTAACGCGGTTATGAACAAATGCATTTTAAGAAGAAGTCGGAATACTACTTGTTTTCATCTGATGGAACAGACAGCTCAGACCTGGACAGGGAAAACGATCAGCTCCAGCTCTGTCAATAAATAAATATTTGCATTTCACTCCAGCAGAGGAAAAATGCAGCACTGATTTTAGGAACCAACCTCAAAAATTCATGTGTGGAAATACCACAGTTCTTTATGCAAACGGACCAGTTGCACATGCAAATGCCTGATTTGCACGAATAATGGCCCTATACGTATGTACAGGTCAGGCATATGATCTAGCACACCACATTTTTGGGGGCTAAGCCTCACTCCCGTGAAGAGCAGAGCATCCTCATCCTGCACTGAAGCCAAACAGTAATGAGTGAACTGGGCCAATCACAACTGGGAAGACTTCGATAGCTAAATATGAGAGCCTTAAGGTTGTATTACACAGAAGACTTATGATTCCCGCCCGAAAGACTAAATAGCTTCTAAATCCTTTGCACTATTTATAACAACAACCACCACCACAATTACATTTATTCTTCTTCAGAAGCACTGTCTGCTTTTGTATTTATACTGTAAGCAGCATATTAAAAAGGGGACCAAATAGATTTCACATATGTCAATGCAATACAAGAGCAGGCAGCAGCCACGTGAAGGGAAGGACAAACATTCAACGAGTTTCATATGGCATGGAAACACAAAGCGAAGTTCAAGTCTGAGAGTTTTCCCACACTTCAGCTAAGTACATTACCAACAGCCACTGAGGTACTTGCTACCATCATATGGGAGCAGGATGATACGGGGCTTGATACAGCATCCCCCCCAGTCCACACAGGTACTTGTACTGGTGTGGGAACACAGCACAACTGAACATGAGATAAACTGGCAAACAAACATCGGCTGAGGAATTAGACCCTGTGGCTCTTCACTTGATAGGCAGAGCGAGGTCATCCTAACCTACCCCGGACTCTAAACCGGGAGATCTTTCCATCGCTTTCATGATGAAATCTTTCCACTGTCAGCGGGTAATGAGTCAGAATAGGAGAGGGATGCTGTTTACTGAAAAGCTCTTGGAACTAGAGGGAGGAAAAGGGAAATACATATGAGAGGCTAAGGATGGGTTCCAAAAACAAGATAAGAAAAATAAAACATGGACAAAATGTGGGAGTGAGGATGGAGGTGGAGGCAGAAATACCGAAGTGAAGGCAGAAGGGGAGACACATGCTAGAAGAACCTGGACAGAAAGCTGAACACAGGTAAGGAATAGCAAAAGGAACAGCAGAAGGATGCTAATGGGAATGGGAGAGATGAAAAACAGGGGGACAAAAGGTGGTGGGTTTCCAAGTTGTGCACTACTGATGTGCATGTGCCCTTTTTTAAAGTGAATGCATAGCCACGATGGCCCTAATATCATCAGGACACCAATGACCCTATCAGGACAGCCAGTTTGCACTGGCAGAGGATATAAATTAAAGGTGTCTGAGTAAGGAGAATCACGGGAGTGACTAAAATGACTGGGATCAAAGGGAAGACCCATCGCCCCCCACCAAAATGCCATTCCTCCCCCTGCAAGGGGTCAACTTGTGCATTGTAGCTCCTCTGCATGTGCTTGTCATTTGTAAGCACCCACAGTGCTCTCACTCATGCTTCAGGTATCCGAATGCCGCTGAGTCCTTAGCACACCCTCTTGACATCCCCGTGCGTCAGGAAATAACGTTTACCTCCTCTTTACAGAGGGGCAGTGAAGCACAGGGAGATGAATGATTTGTCCAGGACCACACTGGCAGGCTGTGGAAACCCAGAGCTTGAACCCAGCTCTCCCAAGTCCCAGGACAGAACTGCAGCTGCTAATGAGAACCAAGAAAATTCAAAAAATGCAAATGAACCATCTTGAAAGTTTTAAGTGAGACTCCTGCTGCAGGCATGAAAGGAGGAAGTGCAGACTCCAACAGGCAAATTCTTTGCCACCCCATCTCCTGAGTCCCAGAAATCCTGTTGATCTGGGCTAATAAATTTCCCCAAGCCCTAGACGTTCTCTTGGCCCTCATCCCAAGCTCACATAAGAAGCTATTTCATAGGCAAGGTTCTTATTTACAGTTACTCAACTCCCATAATATTTTATCTGAGGTGGCATTTTTAACACTCCCCTCCCCAATACTGGATGAACTGTCTCTTTCTTTGCTTTATAGGTTTGTAACTAATCTAGTTAAAATCCCATAAATATTGGGATGTTTCTGTGCTCCCCATTCAGACAGGAGGCTGGCTGAGAAAAAAGTCCATTAGCATTAAAATGATGGTGACATCCAGACTGAAGCTGACAATTCATTCATTTTCTAAGTCTACTGTCATCATGCCAGCTGCCCTTCAGGAGCTGACTGTGCATCAACTGTGTAGCCTCCTGGACGCGCAATACTCGGGCAAGGGTATCCTGCCATAAAATCCAGAGAGTCACAAGTCCTTGCCAGGTCACACAGTGGCTTAATGTGCTGGTTTGCTACCCCTGGGAGACCCGGGCTGGGGTCTTTGTTTTACTGCAGACCTGTGTGCCACTCCAACAGCACGAAGGAGGTCATAAATGCAGGGGAACGAGGCACCGGGGAGCAGCCACAGCGTAGCAGGGTGCCTCAGGCCAGCGCTGCTGCTGGAATCAATGAATCTCAGTTTGGGTCTAAGATGGCTGGGTTTGCTTGAATCGGCGCTCACAACTAACGCACAGTAAAGAGGTGCGAGCGGGCCGTATTGAAACATGGCCTGTAGTTCAGCTGGCAAAGAAAGAGTTGCATTATTCTGCCACTTCTCCTGGATGTGCAATGGCCCCTAATGCTGTTGTGACAATACCAGCCCTCAGCATAGGAGCGCCCTTCTCTCAGCACCCTCCTTTCGCAATGCTCCCAGGTGCAATGGCGTGGTCTGTGCATTGTACTGGTCAGAAAAGGAGCTTGCGGAGAAGGAAGCTGCACCCAGGGCTCGAAAACAAAGGCAGCCCAGTGCCCCTGTGCTGGAAGGCCCCAGTAAGGAGAGGTGCTGAGCTGCCTTTACCCGGATGATGCTGTCCCGCACTGAGCAGATACCCATGGGATGGCCCCATCCCCTTGTATTACCAGGATGGCAGGTCACCTGCACTCAGGGAAAAGATGTCCTCTCCTGCTGAAGTTGGTGGGAAAGCAAAACAACCTCACCAGGACTCCTAGCTTTACTCACACACTGAGATGACTATTATTTTTTTTATATATATATATATATATGTCTATATTTAATCATAGAGTGCTTAGCCAGCCCCAATACAGACTTCTACTTCCTAGCTCTACTTTTCTTCAACAGAAAACTTCCCTGAGAAGTTAGTCAGCCCAAGAATCCCTTTTAAAAAGTTAATCTTTTTTCTTCAAAAGTTAGAAAACTGCCAGCTGTTTAATCAGATTGTCGAAAAAACTTACTTCTCAGCTGAGGATAACGTCTGAGGAAATCAGAGAGAGGCAGATGCAGCCAGCCATTCCTTGGGAGCTCTTCAGAAACTCAAATGTCAGTTGTTTCAGTTAATTAATGTGTGCTAATTAATTAATGCCATTAATTTTGATCAGATAAATCAGCTTTAACATCAGTATAATTGAGATCAGAAGCTAGCGCTCAGGTAAGACCCCAGCCAAGTTCAAAGCTAACGCGTAAAAAATCTCGCTGAATGTGGAAGTTGACCTCCCGCCGTCCCAGTCAGCATCTCGCAGGTGTGGGAAGTGTGTGCATCCTATCGTGCGGGGAGGGCTCTGCCATTTTGCTTTCCGCACAGCATCTGGTCCCTCTCACCTTTCAGGGACATGCCCGCTGATAACATCCAGGCTCTCAGCCGTGGTCCTGAGCCCCAGCTCCTAGTCCATGGAAACCCCAGGCAGGGCATGCTGGCCTGTGCCCCCACCCACCCACGCTCCCCGTGCACAGGGTTTGCTGCCCT